TCCTTCTAGTCGGGACGCAACACTTCTGAGCTTGATCCTTCTAGTCGGGACGCAACACTTCTGAGCTTGAAGCAGGTGATCATTGAATATCAACCAGCAGTCTTGGGCCCCCCTGCCCTCTAGGACTATATCCCATGGAACCTTACTAAGCAGGTTCCTGAAGAGGCCAAAGTCTGCTCTCTTGAAGTCCAGGGCAGTGAGCTTGCTGCATGCTCTTCTCACTGTCCTGAGGATCTCAAACTCGACCAACAGCCAAGGCTGCCCTGGAGCGTCACATTCCCCACCAGCCCCTCCTTGTTGGTGAGCACGAGGTCAAGCATGGCACCTCTTCTTACCGGCTCCTCTGTTACTTGCAAGAGGAAGTTGTCTTCCACACAATCGAGAAACCTTGCTCCCCAGGGCAGGTTTTCCCCGCTCCAGGCAGTGCTGTTCCTCCTGGCCCCCCGCCCCCTGTGAGTCCCCGCTCGCGTCAGCAGAGCTGCGGCTCCTGGGCAAGTCCTGTCGAGGGCTTGAGGATCCTTCGGTGGCTCTTGCCACTCAGAACTGGGGTTCCTGGACGTCCCTTGCTCCGGGGTTGAATGCTTCTCTTTGGAGTAACTCACCTTGGCAAATACAGCAGCATTTTGGTATGATGTGACTCACTGACAAGCACTGATGGCTTATTTTCGCTGCTGTCAACACTGGCACAGATGTAAATTGAATCCACGGGGCTGCTCTTCCTTGTATGTCCTCGATGCAGGTACTGAGCTCCTTAAGCTCCCTGCTGTTTTGCTACATTTAATTTGTCTTGGGCTTCTCTATTCATTCTCTTTGCCAGACATTCATTTCAGCATTAAATTACAACACTATGGCTTATGTTCACTGTTAAAAAAATCTTTAGAAAAGTGTTAGGACAGTAAATGGGAGCGTAAGTTTTGCATTTCAGAAGTCAGGGAGATCATCAGGGATGGCCCCATAGTCTTGCATTATGTTGAATTATTTCCTTCGTCCTCAGTTACAGAAATGCGAGTCCTAGCTTGTGTGAATACAGATAATTTCTCTCTTCTGTTTTATGGCTTTCAGTATTCTCAGCTACTTGTTTCTATGCAGAAATCTGTTGCTTGTGTAAAATGGGTCACGTTTTATGATGCATGTAGCAGAGCTGTGCAGGCTTAACCCTTGAAACAGCTGTGGCTCTTAAGCAGAGAGTGTGACGTGTGACAAAGTAGATGAACAGCGCCCTGTGCTTTCAGACCTCTGAGATAGAATTTATACAGAAAATAACTAGGAACTCTGCTAAAAAATTAATGTTTTACATTTTCAGCCTGTCCAGATGGATTCTTTGGGCTTGACTGCCACCAGGTGTGCAAGTGCAAGAATGCTGCCAGCTGCAACCACATCCTGGGAACATGCCGCTGCCTCCCTGGCTGGCTGGGAGAGACCTGCGAACAGCGTATGTACAGGCTGCACTCACCATCCTCGTTCACAGACTCTCACAGTGCTAACATGGGTTTCTTCTGGGAATGTAGAATGACCCACCAGAGTACAGTTTTAGATAGGTCACATTCCTTTCCAAAGATGCCAAAAAAAGGTACAATTCTTGGTAGCTGTGTAAACAATCAACTTTTTTTTAACTGCTGTTGGCACTTGTCAAACATTATAAGCATCAGTTTTTAAATAGCAGAGCTGTCTCCTACCATATGACAAATCTCTGCTTTTTAATTTTGTACAGCGTCAAGAGACGAAATATTTTATCACTGTTTCTGGTCTGTCTCATCTAATTATCAATTTTAATGTTACAGATTACAAATGCAAAAAGTGGAAAAATCGGAGCTGGGACTACTTATTTGAGCATGACAAAATAGTTTTTAACTAATTCTTAGAAAAGTTATTTGTTTTTAAAAAAGACACCTTCCTAGATTTTCACAAGTATGGATTATCCCACAATCTTTAAGCTAATAAGGTTTTTTGTATGTTTGTGTGTATGCATATATAAGATCGGTTTTTCTGAGATACTGTTCATGAAATTTCAAGGGAAAGTAAATTATTTTCTTTAGTTATATGGCATTTCATATGGATATCACTGAGCCTGTTTGCAATATTTAGCAAATCTATGGGTTTTTTTAAGATTTTCAGGGTTTAGCCTCTCAACTTTCTCATTTCACTTTAAGATGATGTCTTCGTCTATACTTTCTTTTGAAACTGTGACTGTCATCTGCAGAACTATGTTGTAGACCTGGAGTCCAAAGCAGCTCCATAAGGAGCCAACTGTCATTGTTAGTGAACACTTTCACAAGATTTCTTTAATCCTTAGGTTGCAGATTTCTGCAATAGAAAATTGGTTTAATTTAGTAAACAGAGAGAAATGGAGAAATGTTACTTGTATTAAAACAATTCTATTCCCCAGCCATACACCATGTTACAATCAGCCATGTTTGATGGTTGTGCTTGCTCTTCATAATATTTTTCCCTTATTTTTCCCCACCACATGACATAACCTGTCTTCTGAAATGCTTCTCCAAAATACGTTGCTCTTTTTTTTTTACAGGAGGGTCAATGCTGGTATATCTTGCCACTTTTTAGATATTTCTGCAAAAATCCCACCATAGCAGTTCTTTTTTGCCTCCTCGTGGTCCCCCATAGGAAAGCTTGGATCTCTGTCTCTCACTACCTGTAGCTGGTGGTGGCAATACTCCCCTGTGAGTGTAGGTTAGTGAGCTGACCATGAAATAAATGCAGAGGCAGAGCCATTATAGCCATACCACAGAGCAGAAAAGGTGCTGCTGAACAGGTACAGTGTTTGTTTCTCAGTCACAGTCCATTTTTGCTGCCAAGCCAGGGCATTAGCAATATATCACCTTGGCCCTACCCTGCTCCTTAGACTGCATTAGGGATGAGAAGCTTTGTTTCATATTTCATTAAATTCAATTAAGAAATGTAGCTGTTTGTCAACAGCTTTGTGTGCCCACCTCTACTCATGAGAATTTAAAAAAAAAATTACTTTCTTGTGCCACAGCTATTAGAGCTTTATGCTGGATTGATTTATTCTTCACACAGGTGAAGATGCCAAAGCCTCCGAGGCCTCTTTTGCCTGTAAGTAAAAGAGCAAGATGAGTAAATTGTGTAGAGAGCAAGCTCTTTTTCTCATGGCTAAATGATGAATCTATATTTTAATCTTAAGACTGGACCTCAGCCACAGCACTCCAAAGGTGCCCAGAGTAAGGCAACCACGGGCCAGAGATGCCAGCTCACCATTCTTTGGTGTTTAATGTTTACCTTGCCAGTTCCTGGGACTCGCTAGCTCTAGCAGCTGGAAGGATAGCACTTATGTTCAAGTAATGAGATTTCAGGCAACGTGCTGGAGGAGGTTGAGAAATAATTTTGACATCATGGGATTTGAATTGATCTTAAGCCAGCCATGCAGTGCATTTATACATTGCTATCTAATTATGGGTAATATGGACAGTAATGCCTTTTGTTGAAGCTGCCTAACACTTTCCATTACAAGACCATGTTTTTCAATTGCTTATAAATGAATTATATTAATCTGGGATGAAATCTGCCAAGCAAGCTCTGTCTTGGATTGAGTTTGTATTTGGTGATTTTTTTATGATGGGGAGGGAGCTGGTAGGAGGGCTAAGATGTTTCAGGTTTCCAAGAAAGAGGTTTAGGAAAAGTATGTTGCCTATTTATTGGGGGGAGGGAGGTTTAACAGTTTCACAAAGTGGTGTGATGGCTTAGTGCTAAAGAAGTGAGGATTGGACATTTGGCATCTCTTTGTGCCAGAGGTGTAGCCACCTGCCTTTCTGTATACAAACCAGTCCAAATTTTGATGTCTAAAAAAAAACCCAAAAAAACCAAACCCCAAAACCAAACCAAAAAGCCACCCAAAACCAAACCAAAAATCCACCCAACACCAACACCACTCCTGCCCCCCCAAAAAAAATCAACCAAAAGTCTCATCTTGCAGATGGTTTGTGGAAGCTGAACACAATTCTGCATCTGCATTTTGCTCTGACTCTATTAGTACTAAAAAAGCCTCATTCTGGAGCTGTTGGGGCTCTGCAGGATCTTCACAGAAGCAGTTCCCTGTGGTAAAAAAAAGAGACCAAACTGGTCTGCAGAATATATGAGTATGAAAAGATCAGCTGTGCCAGCATCTCTACTCGTGGGAGCTGATAACCAGGGGTTTGACATTTCGTGGTGTGTGAGCACTTGACTTTGCAAATTCGCTGTTCGTTTAAAGCTGAAGCTTCATTTTGGGGAGAATAATGCACAGAAGCTACATGAAATCAAAGCTTCTGGACACCTGTTAGTGTCTTAGTGCTCCTTATTTCCCTGTTCTCCCTGGCATTTTTGATGGCTGTTGACTTCCAGTCTGGAAGAAAATCTCCAATTTTAGGTGTTCCTTACTCTGTGTGCAAAAAGGAATTTAAAAGACTGCAAATGAATAAATCCTCCTCTTACAGAGGAAAGACACTGAGAGGAAAATTTTGAAGCAGGAAGAAGACTAATAATTTAAACCTTTCTATTGCTTCTTCCCTTTGCATTTATCAAGAAGAAAGGAGAAAAGACCCAAGAATATTTGTACATTCAGTTGTGGAACTTCATAAAATAGTTTCAATATATCACTTGTTATCTTAATCTTCAGAAAAGTACTTTGATAATCAGGACTGTCCCACCAAGAAGATAAAAAAGTTTATATCCACCCAATAGAACATTTAAAACCTTCTTCTCCAGAAATTTCAGCTTTCTTACCAGAACTTTCACTGGAACACTCCTGTGTCTTCTCAGTAGCGTAACAAGAGCTTTGCATGCATACTCCAAAAACCTCACACAAACCACTAGTAACCAGTCAGGGGACCTGGTTATGAGCTGGTTTTTCCTTTGGCTTGGTTATGATATAGTTCTGGTCTGTATTGTGGAAATATTTAGTTCTGCTCCCAAAACCGAGCCAGATCTCTGTAGGATGGGCTGAACTTTTAACTTGGCAACCAAGCCTCATTTGCAGAACAAACTTTTAGCTGTGATGGGATTGAGCTCCTGCACTTTCTTGTGGTTTCAGTGTGGATGGGGTCCAAGCAATGACAAAAATGAACACTGTTGAAAAGAAGTACTGGGAGAAAAGGTGTCTGTGGGAATTGTGTTGGGAAACTGAAAGTCCTCATATGGGAAGAACAGGGCTGAGAATGGGTCAGATACATCAACCAAGTTCACCCCTGAGGTCAAGATGGTTTCATGCCTCACTTCAATCCCCAGGGATGTGTCCTTCCACAGCCCTGCATCTTATTCTGCACTCTGACACCCTCAAAGGCATAGAAGTTTCGGTAAAATGTCATTGTTTGTATCCAATCCTGGGAGATGTCACACTCAGTGAGTGCAGGACACTTCTGGATCAGGGATCAGGTCTTTTTTTGCCTCTCCAGTGCATGCCAGCAGTGCTGTTGGCACAAGAGGCTGACATCTTTGTGCAAGTGAAGGAAAGCCTCTGTGAGGCAGGCATGAAAACTATGCAAGGAGTCTATATCCAACTTCATTGACTCATTTTGCATTTTTGGGGTGATAGCTGAAGAAAACAGGGTAGCAGTACCGTCTATCTTTCACCATTTAAAGCTATCCAAATGTCTGCCATTTTTTATATGCAGCAGCACTGAAAACGGAGCTGCAGCAGGAGTACATTTGCGAGATGGCTGTGTTAAGTTTTCACCTGGGAGCCAGCTGCTTAACTGAACGCGTTGAAAATATCACCCCTCTCTGACCAAAGAATGAGACTCTGGGTGAGCAAAGGCATCCAGCTGTGAAAAATGAACACTGAAAACAATGAAGTTGTCAGTTCTCTTACCAGGATGCAAATAAATACCTGGGCTGTCAAGCTGGCGGTTCTGCTGGACCATTAGTTTAGCACAAAGGCATTCTGCAGGGCAGGGCATGACAGCTGATCCATCACCTGAGCAATCCTGCCCTTTGCGAAATACCTGTTTGGAACATGTATGATATGTATTTTTAATCCACGTTATTTAGTGTCAGGCATGGTTAATATATGAGCTTACACACCCTTATGACATGAAAAGTGTGTCACTGGAAGCTGGTTTCAAACTGGTTTCCCTGTCGCTGGGTTGTGTCTCAGGTTTGCTCTGCGCAGCGCCTCCTTTGATACTTCTTATGGGATTTTATGGAATTCTGTCGTTGCAGCCTGCCAGGGGGACAGCTATGGGCCAGGCTGCAGCCGCACATGTCAGTGTCGCAACGGAGCATTCTGTCATCATGTAACTGGGACATGCCTTTGTAGCCCAGGGTGGAAAGGAGCCACCTGCCAAGAAGGTACAATTGGAAATTCAAACCCCTGCTGAAGAATTATAAGAAGGAAAAATTGCACTTCTACTCAGGGGGGCTTTGCTGGTATTTTAATTGTCAGCTCATTGCCCTGTGTTGTTATTGGTTTTCTATCTGCACAATTACACGGATTGGTCCATTAAATACATCTGTGACACCGTGCTGTAGGGGCTGGGTGTAGGAACTTGATATGCAGGGCAAGCTCTGAAGCAGAGTCATAAACTGGAAAAAGAGCTGATTCTGAAGGCTGATTAAGGAAGAAAAGGTCCATAAAACTCCCAATTATGACACTGAAATAAACCTCTGGGGTTTTTTTTCTATGGCCTGCTTTACTGTCCCATGTGCCTGACTGATCATCCTCATTACTGTATACTGTTCCAGACATAGGCTAAATCCAGAACATCTGTAAGGCATTGGGACTTCCAGTCTTGGCAATTAGACTGATACGTGTGACTCAAATACAAGCCCAACTCCAAGGAGCCTTAAGAAAAGAGGCTGGCAAAGAAAGGCTGCCCTGAGGCTTACATTACACATTCTAATCCCTGCATACAAGCCACCAGAAAATGTCAATCCATCCCTGTTGCAGAAGGCTCCTTTTTCTGTGCCTCCCCTGGGAGGTACCTGGCTCTGTAAGCCATGCCACAGAGCCGGGGATACTGCTGTGGATACTCCTATGTATGCTGCAGTCTGGAGTCAGCACTAAAATTTTCTGGTTTGCATGAAGGCCTCAAATACAAAACCAAAGCAAAAGTTAAAAAAGCTGTTGTCAAATATGAAGACTTTGCCAAACATGACCTTTTTCTTTAATGATACATTTGAGTATTCCTTTTTTCTTTGGAAGTAAGGTGGTAGCGTGTGTGAGGCTGGGTGAGCTGTCCTCTGGTAACTATGCTTTTTCAGAGTGAGAACTTGCTCCTGTTAACATCTTTAAAAAGTGCCACTCCAGCACGCAACAGAGGTGTGTATTTTTTGTGCCAAAAAAGTAGATTCTATCCATAGGAATTGGTTGTGATGGGAATCAATAAACTTGCTTAATTAAAATTAGGTAAAACGTGCAATGCCACAGCCAGCTGTGGGTAGCAGGATCAATTAGAAAAGGAGTTGTGATTTTAAGAGGACTACAAAGAAACTCTGAAAACAGGAAATCAATAACTCCATTCCTTGATGCTGAGAAACCTGGTAGGAACCAAGAGATGTTTTTCATAGGTGTGAACAGAAAATCTTGAGGCCTTTTGCTGGGTCACAGCTAACTCATTTAATCACCTATTTTGTTCCCAGACCAGTTTTACACTGGTCTGTTTAATTCCTTATCAGTCATGGTTCCATTTGTACTTATTTGTACCTCCCATGATGCCTGCATGATCACCAGGGCAAGAAGAGGTGTAAGCTGGGAAAGGTTGTGTTTAACTTGTGTTCTTCTCCTACCTTCTTAATGGAAGGCTTTTGTCCTACCTCGTCTTTGCAGCCTGTCCCACTGGATGGTATGGTGCAAACTGTCTCCAGCGCTGCATCTGCCATGGCCAGGCGACATGTGACCATGTAACGGGCGAGTGCCAGTGTCCCCAGGGTTGGACAGGGATAGCTTGTGAGCTGGGTGAGTCTCTTCGTGTCCTCCACCTTGTTTCTGTTGCTGTGCAAGGAAATTCAGTTCTGATGAGGTCTGGTTTGAGACAGCCCAGGAAAAAGAGAGGAGGGGGAGAGGGCTGGAGAACACCAGGTGTGGAAAGGCTGAAAGAATTGGGGTTGTTTAGTCAGAGATGCAAAGACTGAGGGGAGATGTGGTATTGCCACTTGAATATACAATGGTGCTAGAAACTTGCTGGACAGAGGAGAGGAATAAGCTATTCTCTGTCCCTTGGGGACAGGGAAGATAGGCAATGAGCTCAATTTGAGGAGTAAAAATTAATGTAAATCCTCCAAGAGGAAACCAAGTTATTTCTAGAGAATTCTGTTAAGGGAGGCTTCAAAATATCCTTCACTGAAGGTTTTTAGGACCAGCCTATTTCAGAGGCATAAGTGTGTTTTTCTGGAGTCCTTCTAGCTTGGCCCCCCATCAGTGTCTCCTGTCTCATTTCAGAGTGTGGGGACAGGAGATGTGGAGAGGGCTGCGAGCAGAACTGTAGCTGCCACCATGGGGTTTGTGACCAGCACTCGGGAAAATGCATCTGCCATGCTGGCTGGACTGGGGACTGCTGTGATGTTGGTAAGGGCAGTTCCTTCTGCAGATATTTTAACACTCTCTTCTGCAATCAGCCATTTCCTCCTCCGCAATATGAAGTCCATTTCTATTTTGTATCTTGATTTTCCAATGTTCTGTAGGCCAAAGAGAGATAATGCCAGTGTGAGCGCTCACCGAGTGTCTCGGAAGCACCACAGGCAGGTCTCTGCCCATCTGCATATACATGCCCTTGTCCAAACATTTTATGTCCTCCTACTTCTGTTCCCTGCCTGCTGAGAAAATGAAGGTATTTCTCTACCTTATGGGTACAAGGAAGAACATATAAGAGAGAGTGAGTTGTAAAGAGAGTTTGCCAGATCAGCCACATGCTGCAGTACCTCTGTGGGCCGTTGAGGGGGAGCTCAGCAAATTGGACTGTAACCGTTCAGTTTGTACCAATCTTGCACGTGGTCTAGATTGCCCAGATTTGACATAGCTGTCTGGTGTGTTTAGGGCCATGTAAATCCCTGAAATAGAAATCTTGTAAGCAGTAGATATCAGATGACTTGAAATGGGTTTTCAGCTTCACCATTGACATGTTGTGATTTTTTGCAAGCCACAAGCAATTTTCTGATGTCTCCTGTGGTGCTGAGGACTCGCAAAACCTCAGCCATCAGCATGACCTGTCAAGTCTTCACAGTGCTCACCTTCCTTTTCTTTTGGCCTTGCGTTCTCTTTGATCACTTTGCAGAGACCTGTGAGGTGGAAAGCAGTATGTGGATACAGCATATTTTCACCGTTCAAACATCTGTTCCTTTGTGGATAACCATGTAAATGTGAATGGCATCATCATCTCTATAGACACCATCTGGATTTGTACTCTTGACTAGGACTAAGTCTTTGCAAACTTTCACATGCAGACTCATTAATAGCCAATGCTAAATGTTTTTAATATTTTTAATATATTTTCAACTATGTTTTCTGGGCATGCAGTCTTCTAAATATATATCACTATGTGCAAGAAGAACAATATTGGTTCATTTGCCAATGACAGATGCTTTCCATGCAGCAGGAAGAACTGTTGCTCTCTCTCTGCTTCTACTCACAGTCTGCCCTGTAGGATTTTTTGGCAAACGGTGTGAGGAGCAATGTGACTGCATACACGGCTTGTCCTGCCACCATCAAACTGGAGCATGTCACTGTGAAAAGGGATGGAGAGGGAGACACTGTGACAAACGTGAGTGCATGCTGGGTGTTTATTGAGGGAAGTTCGGGTCGACACATACCTTTCTCCCAAATCTAGAGCTGACAGGATCCTTTCATT